TCATACTGTTTACTTACTGTAAAAGGGTCTATATTGACAATATGTTCACCACTTTACCTTTACGTCAGACATCCCTTTCAGACAGGGAACTGAAACTAACTGATCGAGGCAGCGGTAGACCAGCAACTTCAGTGTTCTCAGAGGTAAAATTACTGTTTTTGTCAATGGAGTCTGGCTTTACAGAGAGCACAGATAAGCTTCATTTTCAGGTCAATTTTTCAGTAGCCTAGTCAATTTTTCTACAATTCTACGGTTTAGCAAAAAATGCATGTTTCGGACATACATAAGCATAAGACCAATCAAGGCAGCAACTCCCATGTTCTGCAAGGTAAAATTACTGTTTCTGTCAAAGGAGTCTGGTGGCTTTGAAGAGATCAAAGCTAATGGCTTCAGTTCACTGTTGGAAAGGGCTGTCTGAAGGCAAGGTAAAGTGTTGTCAAGTGTTCTCAATATTGCGTACACTTAAACTGATATTGATTTTTTAAAGTGACTTAAACACATTTTGCTGCTGCTTAGCTTCCATGGCGGTACTCCTGCCTGCTTCTCCAAACTGGGAGCATGCCAACTGCCATCTACTGTAGGCAATACACTGACTATGAATAAGTACCCCTCATGCATCACTTCAAAAAATCCAAACTATCCCTTTAAGTACATATAGACGGTCTATGTTTTTATCACAACTCCTCAGTCCATACTTGAAACTATATTCTTGACAACTGTATTCCACAAAAATTCAATCAGAAATGTTACGATTCAAAACGTTCCTTCACTTTTTATATTACAATCAAACTGCCTCAGCACATTTAGATGAACATGAAACTGTTATGTTGGACCATTTTCTCTACATCTGGATTACATTTAAAGATGCAATTCCTTCTGAAAGTAACACCTCCTCTGCCTGGATGCAGCCTCGACTGACTGTCACATCCATAGTTTCAATAAGTGTCGAGGTCTGACTGAGCGTTTGAGGCTGCCGGATCCGAGCAAACACTCACAGCAAAAACTGATGAAGGTATGTTGACTCTGCTGCTGCTGGTGACACCACTGATAGTGTAGGCACTGTTGATGCATGACTACTGCTGCAGTGCCACTGACTCTAACACTGGATGAACCTGATGTTCCTTATTATTACTTCTGTTTTTTTATATGAAAGAACACTGAGCCTGATGATGCTTTTGCCAATTTACTACAGGGTGCTCTATAACATGAGAACACTGTGACAGGCATTCTTATTGCACAAATGAATTTCTGTCAAACGTAATTTAACTGAGATTGGCCTTGTGTCGCTGATTTGTAGTTACATTATTTTATAACATTTTTACCAGTCCGCATAGTTACTATGTTCAGTACCAGATACGAAACCACCTTAATATGAGCATATGCAGTTTCCCTGTTGCACCAAATACATGTAGAAGTAAAACGAACCATGACCACAAAACTGAGAAACATAGAGTGTGTCTATTGTGAGTCATTTTATCCCTCACTGACTACAAAGAGGGGAACTTTGTTTCCGTCTGACATATCTGCTAACATGCAGCCACATTAGGACAAAACGTAAAAACAGCAAGCGAGTTGTGAATTGGTCAGAGGCCTACAACCACTAGGGCAGATTCATTCAACTAGCAGCCTGCCAATCAGTTCTGCTCACAAATAAATAAAGTTTAAATCATGTGAATAATGGACATATTGCCACAAGAAATCCGTCAAACCAGCAGAGTGCTCCTGTGCAGTAATTGCCTCTGAACCCTGGCAACCCCCAGCAGGTCTGAAAGACGTGTTTTCTTTAAAAACAATCGCCAAAATTACAACATTTATCACAGCCAGGCAGAAACTGTACAAACAGAAACTATGGTGGGATTTTCACATTTCTGACAGTTCTTGAACACATCATATGTTACTAACGCTTCCATGAGGAAACGTTAGCAAATCTAAGCTTGAAATAGTGACATTCCTTTAATGTCACTTTAGACCACATGTCTCGTTTAAAATGTCTCCAACAATAAACTGTTTGCACCAACCAAAACTGTTTAAAAATAAATAAATTCTGCACTCAGTCATGACAAAATTTAGTGAAACCTCAACGTAACTGCAGGCTGTTTACACAGAGCAGAAAGGAGAGGCTGTGAAAATGTAAATAGCAAATGTAAATTGCAATATAGCAAAATAAAAGTGTTTAAAATGTGGTGGCGTGTCGTGTCAATACATCATGAGAATAACAGGGAAGTGTCTGGTCCCTGGGCCCTTTGTCAGCCCCTGATTGGCTGGGCTTGGTCAGGCCCAATGACCTGTAACGTGGCAAGTCAGGAGAACATAGATTACAGTGATGGCCAAAAATAAGAAAGATGTACTAAAAATATATTAAGGCAAGTATGAAACATTCTACAATGAATTTAAAGGCATAACTACCACTGGATTTTTCTAAAAGAGCCGTTGATATTTCCATTTCTTCCCTCGGCACATATCACTGCACAGTGCACTGGATCTGAATATTAATACATAAATATATCAGCTCCGGTTGTATCAAGGAAGTAGCCACAAAATGACATTTCAAAAGTCAGCTGGGTAATCTCAGCATATTTATCAACTTGAAGACGAAGCAGAGTGTGAAATCTGTCCATGCAGTGTGTGACGCTTCATGTTTTTTGAAAGTCGTTTAAGACATTTAAGTCTCCTTATGTCCTCCATTTTTGTCATGGCACTGACGCTTTGCTCTTTATAGAAACAGCTGCTTGATAATGTTCTTGCAACTTTGAAAAACTTTGCAAGTGGGTCACTTGTAGGATTCAAGCTATTAACAAGACTCATGTCACCCTTCTAAAATAAGTTCCATCATTTTTCTGTTTTTAAAAGAAAAGCAGTTCCCCATGACGGCTGTGGCTCAGAAGGTAGAGCCACTAATCGAAAGATCAACGGTTCGATCCCCAACTTCTTCAGTCCGCATGTTAAAGTGTCCTTGAGCAAGACACTGAATCTTTTGCTCCCAATCGGTGTGTGTTAAAAACTGAGTAGCAGGTGGCACCTTGTATGGTAGCCTTGGCCACCAGCGTATGAACGTGTGTGTGAATGAATCATGACTCATAAGAAGTGCTTTGAGTGGTTGGAAGACTAGAAAGGAGCTATACAGGTGCAGGTCCATTTATAGAGGTATTTTCCTTTTCTTTGGGCGTACGTCTTTGCTTGATGGGCGGCTCCACCGTTTATTTATTTAGATATTTTTGAGGTTCTCATTTCATTGTGTAGCTTCCCAGCTCCTTATGTATTAAATGCCTGAAATTCAAATTTTGGTTGAAGCATGGACGTTATAGCATCAGAATGGTATTTCCCTAGCCCCACTGAAAAAAAATTTCCCACGTGATCTGATTTAGGTTACTACAAGATGACATTGCTCCATATAAAACCCATGTACTACTGTGAACACCACGTTAGTTTGCCTCTGAAGTCATACAATAACACAAACAAACTAAATGATCTAGGATGCAGTAGGACAGCAACTCCTGTGTGGTGTAGGGCAAAAATATTGTTTCTGTCAATGGAGTCTGGTGGCTTTGAAAAGAGCAGCATAAAGGCTTCACTTCCCTGTCAGATAGGGCGTCTGACGGCAAGGTAAAGCAATAAAAATAATCTAAATACAGCGTACATGTAAACTGATGTTGATTTTTTTAGGTGGGCCTTTTTTGGCGTGGCTAAAATACCTTTCTGCTGCTGCCCCCGACCACAGCCACCAGACTCCTTTGACAGAAACAGTAATTTTACCATGCAGATCACAAGGAGTTACTGGTCTGCTTCTCTTAACTGGAAGCGTGCCATTTGCCAACTTCTGTAGGTAATACACTGACTACGGGTCTATAAATGTGTTTATATAGTATAAATGCAGTTTTATATTGAATCTCTATGTGTCTTCACCTGGTTAAATAAAGGTTTAATAATATCATAAAAGCACCATCTTCCACCTCATCAATGCTGTAAGCTACACCACTTCCTTTTGCTAGGTTGCGTGGGAGTTTCCATTTGCATAACATGAAAAAGAGCGCAGATGGACCCGCCCTTTAAATACCAACAGGGAACTTGCAATGAAGCAAATATAATTTGGGATAATGAAAATGTACAGTATACCTCTGTCCTCTATAAAACTGAAGCTTAAAGCATCTGAAAATTAATCAGGCCCAGCCAACAGACAGCCTGCATGCTACACATTACATTATTAATACAGATTACATCATCAATACAGAGCATATTATAGACAGCAATCACCTCTGAGGCCCATTACGGTTTCTAGCTTGGCATGAGGGAGCGTACAGCAGCAGCAGCAGCAGCAGCCACGCAACCTGCTTATCAATGAGTGATGCCTGGCTGTGGATCGGAGAGCGCCGCACATCAGTCTTGTATGAAAGATGCAGAGAAAAATTGAGCCTCTTGCTTTCATCATTCAGCACAAATTCAATAAAATGTCAGTCGCTGCCAGCTCTCAATGCAACTCGTTTGCAATGTTGAAGACTTTGAAGGAAAAACGCATCTGTATTCAGTGCTGAGGCCTCAACAGCAGCGTGGTGAAATAAGTCAGATGGATATCTGAGCTAAACGCTGGATGGCAAACAAAAGTGTATCATTCCTGATAGTTGTTGTTTCTGAGTTTCTTCTGCTGTTTCCCCTTGTTTTTTGTGCATCCAGAACACATTACACTTCCTGATTACATAACTTGTCAGGTGCAGGCAGGATGAAGCCATATGTTCCATTATGCATACACTTTAATCAATTGCTTTAATGCAGGCTAAGTTATTAATATGCAATCATGAACCAGATGCCCTAGAAAGAGGCATTCACTTTGACAAGGTAGCCTGTGTGTTACACTAAAGTCTGGGAACTGAGCCTTTCATCAGCTGCTACCAGATGGTATTAGCATTGCTAGACAGAGCCTAACTGGGCCTGCATAAAAATAACCCAAGAAAAAGTCTTGTGTGTTGCCGCAGTGACCACGGGCAGTGAACAACCCCAAAACTCACCAGTTCAGCATCAATAACGTTCAGTGGGAGAAGCTCATGTCTTGGCCTGCAGAGACAAAAAAGGACATACGATAAGATGGGGAGAGAATTTCATAAATCAGAGAGGCCTGAATCTGGACTTATTTGGCTGAGATCTAAAACCCTCATATACAGTAGGAAGGGCCAGAGCTGGGACGAACGACATGGGGAGACGAGCGCATACCACATCCCGCTACTCCCCTGCCAAAGAAAACATGAAGTAAATCACAATATCGACAAACTAACAGCTTCACAACGGCCTCCGCTTGTCAGACTTTAACAATGAGGGGCAGACACGTCGAGGGCTGTGATTCAACATGTTTTCCAACATACTACCGAAACACTAGGCCTGTCAGTTGGCGTGCCAGGCGGCTTGTCTGTTGGCCTATCAATCCATCTGTCTGCACTTCCTCACACTCATAGATCTCTCTCTGTGAGGCCCTCAAACATCCGTGAGGATGACTGACAGCCTTGTCGAGGCTGCTGTGAGAAGAAACGGCGCTGTGATAAAAACCTGATAACCCCATCAAAACAAAGAGATAGAGCTGGAAACAGCCAAGCTAATCAGGACCAGATCCTCCTAATTATGAGAAGAAGCAGTGGAAAATAAATAAGGGAGGAAACGAGCAAGGGTGCACGCCAGCCATCAAAAAAGAAACAAGCAAGCAAGATGTGCTGTAAACTGGCAGGCGGAGGGATGGATTCCAACAAAGTCCCCCTAGAATAAACCTCTAACCTTCAAGCGATTCAATATGATGCTGGCAAGCGTGCTGCAGTGAAAACATACAAACAGACACTTCATTGCAGCTTGAACCAAACCCTACAGCTACTTCCAGGCTCACCATAGAAATACAAGCATCCCAGAAGATAACACAGGGCAATGTGTGCCTTCGACACAGATCATAGCCTAATAAACGTGTATCTATAGCTGCAGCACAGTCGCATTTGTAAACCATGAATCTGTAATAAATGACAGGCTTGAGACTCTGAGATGATGTTTTACTTTCCTCTGTCTCCATTACTTGCTGTCATTTAATCAAATAATCGAAATCCAGTTTTGTTGTCCACCTCTCAGTGACTCAAAGAAAAGATATTGTTATTCTGTGCGGCTGAATGCACAGAGATATTGAAAAACATGCTGCAGTTTACCTTCAGTCCATCCAATTCTGAAGAGTTAATTAAAACGCACTCTCACCGCCTGCACTGCACAGAGTACACTTACATGTTATACACTTCAAGCCAGACACGCTTGAGTGATTCACACAGAGCAAAACAGCAGCCAGGCCCACTGTGTGGGTACACCTACCAGACGGGGACTGTTTGAGCAAAATATTTAATTATTGAGGCTCTATGGGTTTCAAAGTTAGCCAGTCAGCGCTAATAAAATCTACAAATTACAAAAAAAATACAGAATATCAGCGACATCAAACACAACTTCTTTACAACATGTAACGTGGTGGTGGGTATGAGATGTGTTAAAATTACCGTGACACTTTAAATAAGCGCCCAGTCCCTTCTACTCGCCTGGTGTGGCTACACATTTTATCAAATAAAGGCCTGTCTCAATTACACGCCTGGTCTGGTTGCCAAGTAGTTTGTTTTGTTATAGAAGTTCTCTGGACGTATAAAACCGGGTTGTTGGCTACCTCAAATTATGCCTAATTTTTAAACAAGTAATGTTCATACTGGTTTAAATAAACCATGTGATTGTATTTCCTGATCTTTGTTGAGCAACAGTTTTGTGTAACAGGAAATTAAGGCCTGTCCCAAATACAGGCCTGTTGATTTAAGTGATTTGAACAAATATTAGCCCAGGCTATTAATTAAAGTTTTGCGATATGTACTGGGAACACAAAAAAAGCCAATGCAAAGTCTATTACGAGAGGTTTCGGCATCAAATGTGCCATTTACGTGGTTAATGTTGTGAAGTTTGGTTAGGTTTTCAGAAAGAAAAAACGTAGCTAGGTCTTGAAAACAAAAAAAATCTTGGTTAAGTTTAGAAAAAGATTGTGGTCTTGGTTAAAATAGTTACGTATGGACATAAACTTAGTGACGTAGCATAGTTACATAAAGTACCCATGCAAAGTACTACTTCACGTAGTTACTACAGATGTCAATATTTAACTATTAATTGGTTAACTTCCAAAAATATTTTTGACCCGTTATGCATGTTGGTCTTTAGGTTAATTTTACTACTCTACAGTCTACTGCATTGCACATCAACCAGGTCTGGTGGGAGCCAGTTAGCTTGCAGTTAATTACCACCAGTAACATCATCTCAACCTAACAGTGTTGCTATGGAAACATTGTGCCCACCCACCAGTATCCCCCCAGGTCGCCTAGGTGAGTAAGCAGCCCAGTTTGTAGCACTGTTGTTAGCTCTGTTAGCACCGTTAGCAGTGTCAACACGGCTCGTGGTGCCAACAGAGTTAGCAATGCTAACAGGGTTTTTTGGCTCAAAGTTACTCTGCTTGCTCAATGGGGCAACCTGGAGGGAGACCAGAGGATGGCAGCCATGTTCACCCAGCAACGCCGTCCCACTAACAGGAGGGTGTTACAAGCGGTAACGTAATCTCTGAATGAGCAGTGCTGCTAGCTAGCCCCCCCCCCCCCCAACCCTGTGCAATGGAGAGCAGCCATGGCTAACCTTAGCTAACCAGTGGAGACCAGAAGGCAGGGAATGCATGCTGTTTCTACATGTAAAATTTCACCACCTCTAAACCGATGTGTGGCGCTAAAGCTCACTGAGTCAATAAAGTGCACAACAATAGAAGAGGCCTCACGTCATTTGAGTTTTTTGTTAAGAAATTACCCACTTAGTTATCAGTTAATGGGTGCTATCAAAAGCTAAATTAACCAAAACTGGCATCCCTAGTAATTATATAAAATCTGTACAGTCAAAGTTGTTATGAGATTGTGTCCATTTCCTGTATTTCTATGAGAACAGGCTGAATAATGGATGTTTTCCAGCATGATAATGATTCATACTGCAGGACAGAAAAAGAGCAGTTGGTTTTGTTCCTTAAATCATTAAAACTAATAATAGCGGGTGATAATCATGATCACAGTACAGTATTTGCAAAAAATAATAGGGATTATCATTAAAGCCCTAATCATGCAGCCATCCTATTATCAAATGAATTTACAGCTGCACTGTACCGTGCAGCGCCTCCTGAAAATAACCTCTATCTGGCACCGAACACTGAGTGCATCAAAGATATTCGTAGCACTTACAACGTCATCTGGTCCAAAAAAAGAAAATAATAAAACACCTGCACACCCTCAGTTAGCCTTTAAGCTTCTTAGGCCACCGCTCTTCATCAAAATGCTTCACAGCGCCGGTTTAAGCCACAGGTAAGGGATTGTTATTGTGTGAGGGAGGGTAATGTTTGCCTCTGTAATCACCAGTGAAACGTTTGCGCTGCAGTGTCAATAAGCCGCAGCAGAATTTGTTTTCTTTACATAATAGTTGTGATCTTTCGTGGGCAGCAGAGGACACACTTTGGAAGGAGGGGCGGGGGGGTAACCTTCTGTAATTTTACAATAATAGACAATGACACACTCTGCAGTCTCTGACCAAAAGCCTGTTGAGATTAGATAGTGTAGCCAAACACCATTAAGATAAACTGTAATATACCTGTGTTGAATTTTACAAGAACTCAATAGGGTTCCTCTGCAAACATGGCTCGTACTGTATAGGTGGACAGGTCGGTGGGAACAGGTGGGAACGCCGAACAAGCTTGTTAACACACACATAGTCATCTATTAATACTGAAGACTGCCAAGCCGAGCGAAACCTTGAAAAAATTATACATTATGGTGCTATTTGCACTGTAAATAAGCCTCCAGAGTTACCCACAGGTTATTACTGAACAAATAACAGCCTCTACCCTCTGGGTGTGTGTGAGAAAACAGGTTTTGGAAATAGAAACCTGCCGTCTTTGACTCTACGTCAAACTAAGCAGGGATAGATCGATAGACAGATAGATAGATGAGAATCTCCTCCGAACACTGAACCAACATTGCTTTAACCTAGACACAATGTCAAGATATCGACACTGAAATCTTTTTCTTTTTATCTTTTTCTTTATAATTTAGTAATATTTTTAATAATTCATTTGAGATAAATTAATAGTGATAATAGTATAAACTTTAAAGAGCTAAAAAACATTTAAACAAGAGAACATTTCAGGAAAATATACATTTTCCACTTCTTCCTTTCCTCAGTTTTTTTCCCCTGAAGTCTCTTTGAGAGTTTATTTGTAATTGCTCAATAGCAGCTACACTCAGTCTTGCAAATTTTGTTTTAATATATATAAATGTTGAAAGTGAGAGACCTTAAAGTAGTTCATCCCATTCAAATAAGTTTTGTCTCAAATATAGCACCTAAGGGACAGTCCCTTAGGTGCTATATTTGAGACAAAACTTATTTGAATTCTTTACTTGTCAGAGGAGGAGGGTGGCTGGGTGTGACTTTGTTTGTTTGTTTTTTTTTTTCCATACTTCTCAAAGCTACAAATATTTTTCCCTGAGCCTCCCTGAGTGACTGGGGAAACATTAAAAATGCATGCCCCTACCTCCACCATAAATTAGATTTTAACAACCTACCCTTTGATGTTTGAAAGCTAAAAGTTAAAGAAGAAATTCTGAAATTGATTCCTTGTTTTTTTACTGGTTAGTCTGTGCAGACAGTTTATTTTGGACAAACTTCAAATGAGACGTAGAATAAAATGATTTTGAGCTCAGATTTTTTTTTTTTTTTACAAAAGCATTCATCTCACATAATGTGTTCAAGGACTGTCTGAAAATAGAAAATCCAGTGGTAATTTCTGCAGGTTTGCAGGGCATGTTTTCTTTGAAAATCTGCAGAAAATAAATAAAAATACAGCCATATAAAGTTGTATGCCCCTCCTGTAAGCCAAAAAAGTGGACTGAGTACACTGAAAAATATAAATATAATTTTGGTTTTTACATCTTACTGCTAACTGGTTCAACATTGCTGTGACATTAAAGATAATTAGACACAATATAAACACTTTTTCTGGTAAGAAACTAGAACTTTCTGGTGTCCCTGTCAGACAGTAAATCAATGACACCTTGGCTGTCTGGGATAATTTCTAATTTTACACTTTTTGGCTATGATGAATGGTGTAATTTTGGCCATTTTAAACCTACTGGCAGGTTTGGAAGGCATGTTTTATCTAAAAATCAGTTATAAAATAAATACAAAATACAGCCATTTAAAGTTGTATGCCCCTTAAAAAATAAATGACTGATGCTTAAACAATTATTTGACATGCCTCCCCTCTCATTAGTAATGAACAGTCCCTAATTGTGTATAAATCTAATGCCAATAAGCATGGTAGTGCTGGGGGTTGGCTTCTGATATCTGATATTCAAGATATTTTTTCACTTATTCATTTGATGCAAGTGGACTGAATGCACTGAAAAACAGAAATAGCATTTTGGTAGACATGAAACTAAAATCTTGTACTAATTTGACATCTTACAGTTCACTAGTTGCTGTGACACTGAAGATAAATACATGGAAACTAAAACTTTCTGGTTGCAGAACATGCAGAGACTCTGGTCTTCCCACTTGCTTATATAGGTACTTGAAAATTAATGCAAATTACAGCCATTTGAAGTGGGATGCCCCTCCTGTAAGCCAAAATAAAAAATACATAAATCTTCCCAGTGCTTTAAAAATTATTTGACATTATTTGACCTTTTTGCACCACCACCTCCCCTCTCACAAATAGTGAACAGTCCCTAATTCTGTATAAATCTAATGCAAACAAGCATTTACTTTTGGACAGGCCCAGAACAAGTGGTATATTCGAAATCTTATTTGTCTTATTCATTTGATGCAAGTGGACTGAATGCACTGAAAAACAGATATCACTTTGGCGGCAATGACACTGAAATCTTGTACTATGGTTACTGAAGATAAATATATAGAAAGTAAACATTTTTTTTCTGGTAAGAAACTGATGATACCTTGGATTTTTAAAGAAGCCTTGCCTTCCAAACCTACTGGCCGGTTTGTGGGGCATGTTTTCTTTTCATGTTTTTCTTTAAAAATAAAAACAATTACAGCCATTTAAAGTAGTATGCTCTTCCTGTAAGCCAACATAAAAAAACACTGCTTGAAAAAAATGTTGATATGCTACCTCTTTTAATGCACCACCCCTATCCTCTCATAAATAATGAACAGTCCCTAATTCTGCAAAAATCTAATGCAACAAGCATTTACTTTTGGACAGGCCTAAAACAAGTGATATATTCAAGATCTTTTTCCACCCATTCATTTGATGCAAGTGGGCTGAATGCACTGAAAAATAGAAATATAAATTTGTTTTTTTACATCTTGCTGCTCATTGGTTAAACAATGCTGTGACATTGCAGATAAACGGATGTAAAATAAACACCTTTTTCATTGGTAAGAAACTAGAACTTTCTGGTTGCGCTGTGTGACAGTGAATCAATGACACCTTGGCTGTCTGGGATTATTTCTGCCCTTACAGTTTCTGGCTCGGATGAATGGTGTAATTTTGGCCATTTTTAAATAAAACATGCCCTCCAAACCTGCTGGCAGGTTTGGAGGGCATGTTTTCTTTAAAAATCAGCAGTAAAATAAATACAAAATAGAACCGTTTAAAGTTGTATGACATGCAGCCCTCTTTGTGCACCACCACTTCCCCTCTCATAAATAACGAACAGTCCCTAATTCTGTATAAATCTAATGCAATCAAGCATTTACTTTTAGTCAGGCCCAGAACAAGTGATACATTCAAAATCTTTTTTGACTCACTGATTCGATGCAAATGAACTGAAAAATATAAATATAATATCATTTTGATCTTACTGCTCATTGGTTAAGCATTGCTGTGACATTGCAGATAAATAGATGTAAAATAAACACTTTTTTTTCCTGGTGAGAAACTGTGTGACAGTGAATCAATGACACCTTGGCTGTCTGGATGTTTGCATGGCAGCTGCAGCTCCCAGATTCACTTACACCACTAGCAGCAGCAGCAGCAGCAGCAGCAGTAGTCTATGGATGCACCAGTTAAACTGATTTAATTAACATTGTATTAGGATTCTTTGGCAGGTCAGTGGGATGGGAACACTAGTACAGTGCAGCCAGCCACAGTGTGGACATATCTGTGTAGATATAAGGCATTAAAAAGGCCAGGTAGTGTCGGTTAGTCCGCTGACTTTTATGGCCACTGTGCAGTGTGCCTGTCATCGGCCGGCTGGCTTCTGATCTGTCCCGCTACAGCAGCTAGCTGCACCGGCTAACCTCCCAGCCGCTGGAAACATCCACAACCCCCGCTTTTCACAAAGTTCCCAAGCTGTTACTGTACCGTATTTACCTGGAGGAGAAGCCACATTAAAACCAAGCGAGGCGGGAGTAAATTCGATATCAAATTGCTAAAGGTCCATTTGAATGCGTCTGGCTAGCTAGCTAGCAAAGAGAGCTACAGTCTCCAGCTGTGTGTGTGACAGAGACAGACACAGAGGATGTCTGAATGATGAGAGCAGGAGTTTAAATGAAAGCTCCGGTGTCTACAGCATCCGACCAGCGGCTACACAAACACATTCAACACAGTCTGGCACAGGTTTAACGGACCAGTCGGCTCAGGAACTCAGGAGACATTTAAGGTTTGTTTCTTACGTGATTTCGGTGCTGGAGACGGGCACGGGTTTAATCCGACGCCGGAAAAAGAAATGATGCTGTGCAGAGTCCGGGTGGGGATTTTCTGTGTCTCTGTGTGTGGCTGCCTGCCTGTCTGTGTTCTTCCAGCTGCTGCTCTATCCCGTCTCCCTCCGACTGTCTGCTCGGTCTCCCTGCCGCTGCCGGAGTGTCCCGGTGCTCTTGTACCACTCGCCCTCCAGTGGAGAATGAACGGCCCTGATGCGCTTTGATTAGGAGCCCCTCTTCAGCTGCAGCACGCGCCCCCCCCTCAACCAAACGTGCCTGCGCGTGACTGTGCGTGCGTGTGCGCGCGTGTTCGTATGCGTGTATGTGTGTGTGAAAGAGTGAATGAGTGTGCCTTGGGTTGACAGAGTGAGTCATCCAGCAGAACCAGAGGCAGCTCCTCCCTGCTCTAACAGCTGACTACTGTGGCCGCCATGCGTTGGTAAAGACAAACAGAGCTCCCCCTCCTCCTCCTCCTCCTCCCTCTGTAAGTAATACTGCTCTGTCTCCACACAGCCAACTGTGTGTCTCTGCACTGACTTCACTGCACTCTATTGTGTTTCTATTTATCTGTGGCATGCTATAGTAGTGATGTAGCAGAGGGGGGTTACATCACAGGGAGTTTGATGTGTTGCAGCTGACATGAATCTGTATGAGCAGAATTATGGTAAGCTGAATCACAATGAAGTCAGTCAGCCTGTAAGTGGATAAAGTTCGTTTTTTACAAATGCTCTGAAACCTATTTTCATTCACATATAACCCATAATCACAATCTGCTTTATTGCCAAGAAGGTTTTCACAGCCAAACACAGGTGCATGTGTACTGAAGGGAGAACATGTGCAGCGTTTCATGAAACATGAAAGCAAAGGTCTTGGTGTGTTACATAAACTTAAGTCCCTTTTATGGTGTGTTCAAAGCAGGCGCAAATAAATTGCATGCAAATTACATGTAAGGTCAATATAAAGATGCAATTAGACTCAAATTCCCACCAGGCGGCGCAATGGAGGCGACGCGCAATCTGCAAATTAGACCGGAAAACACAAGTGTGTAGGCCTGGGTAGCCCTGCACTAACATGATCAACTTTACCGTGTTTATCAGACTGAATATTTACAGAAGAAGGGAAAGATATCTGTCAGCTGTGATTGGTTGTTCCTCGTCACATGACATGCGGCGTGCGCTGCTGTATTCCAGAAGTTGAACACTTGATCTCAGGACACAGCATCCTGAAAAATAGGCGCTCGGGAACGCGTGTGCGCCGCGACAGCATCGCTCTGGTGTTTGAGCACGCCTGCCACACCTCTACATTGAAAACAATGAGCAAAAAAACATGGCATGTGTACGGCCCTTTACGTAGTGTGAATGAAGCAAGTACCACGATTTTGCGTCATACCGTGTTCGAGTTGGGAAATCTCCAGGTCGGCGGGGAGGTCCTGCCTCAGGTGGAGGAGTTTAAGTATCTCGGGATCTTGCTCACGAGTGAGGGTAGGATGGAGCGGGAGATTGACAGGCGGATTGGAGCAGCGTCAGCAGTGATGCAGGCGCTTAACCTGTCCGTTGTGGTGAAAAGGGAGCTTAGCCAGAAAGCGAAGCTCTCGATTTACTGGTTGATCTACGTCCCAACCCTCACCTATGGTCACGAGCTCTGGGTAGTGACCGAAAGAACGAGAGTGCGAGTACAAGCAGCCAAAATGAGTTTCCTCCGCAGGGTGGCTGGGCTCAGCCTTAGGGATAGGGTGAGGAGCTCGGACATCCGGGAGGGACTCAGAGTAGAGCCGCTGCTCCTCCACATCAAGAGGAGCCAGTTGAGGTGGTTCAGCATCTGGTAAGGATGCCTTCCGGACGCCTCCCTTGGGAGGTGTTTCGGGCGTGTCCAACCAGGAGGAGACCTCGGGGCCGCCCCAGGACACACTGGAGGGATTACATCGCCCGGCTGGCCTGGGAACGCCTCGGTGTTCCTTCAGAAAAGATGACGGAAGTGGCTGGGGGAGAGGACTGTCTGGGCTTCTTTGCTGAGGCTGCTGCCCCCGCGACCCGGACCCAGATATGCGGAGGGTGACGAGTACGAGTACGAATAGGAGTTGGGAAATCTGAACTTCAGTAACCAATTCATGCCGCAATAGCCAATCAGCATTTAAATCTTCCAGGGGTGTATGACACTGAGGATGTACTGGTGGAAATTCATTCATCGGTTCAGCGATTTCTTGATATCACAACACAAGGCCATTAAACATTCGGCCCGGACACATATTTTGGTTGTTCCTCATCACATGACACGCGGTGTGAACTACTGGGTTCCAAAAATTGAACTTGTATATCTTGGGGCGCAGCTGTCACACCCCGAAAATAGGCTTTCGGGAACACGTGCACACCACGATGGCATTGCTCTGGCGTTTGAGCGCGCCTGCCGCATGTTTACATTGAAAACAATGAATCTGAGGGCCCTAAATCACGGCATGTGTTCGGCCCCTAACACCGCCTGCTGGTGTGAAAAGTTATTTCCTCTTACGCAGGCGCAGAATGTACTCAGCTATAGTCTTTGCGATGTGTGTGAGTGCAACTTCTTGGCCTAGACACAGGCAATGTGAGCATTCAGCGTCATACTTTTTACAAACTTGACATGTTGCAGTCCATTCAGAACGGGCCTGCGACCCACTTTTGGACCGCGACCCACCAATTGGGAACCACTGGTCCAGGCCATTCTTCTGATGACCTAATCAGCAGTGGTGTAGTGGAAGGTATGTGCGGGTATTCAGAGTGTAGGCTACTGGCCTTTAACGGTGTACCCACCAACCATCTACCTCCCTCCTCGGTAACCTTCCCATCTTCTCACTAATACACACCTCATCAACAACAACAACTACACCACTGCTCATTTGGTATTTTTTTAGACAATATAAAGTTTCTCTGGGGCCACAGGAGAAATTATACAACTGTTTCCCCCAGGCTCAGTACTCTGGCGCCCCTAAACACGACTAAATGGATGTTCATTTGTAAAATCGATGGAGCACCCCTGTATGATAAATGTATTGTTTCCCAGTTCCCTGTGCTGCACCTGGTGAAACCCATCTGATACAGTGCATGCTTTTGCATTTCTGTGCTTGTGATGACTAAATTGTCCAGAAAGGATGTGGTGAAGAAAGAAGAAAGGTCACAAGAGGACGTTTTAGGTTTAAGGACATGGTTGTATGATTGTGTTTGGATCAGAATTAGACTCAGAAGATAAAGGTAATGTTTAATGTTGGCATTACTTTGGGTTTATGTCTCAGATTAAGGCTGTATTTGGTTTAGATTCAGATATTTAGGACAAAGTTGAGAAGGCTAGGATTAGATCTAAGGTCAAAGACTGAAAGTAGTCGGTGAAGATTCACTACAGCATGTGTGTTAACGTCTCTGTGTGTGTCTGCTTAGCGTACCTTCCAAGCAGCACCCCGTGGTCCTCTCCTCTTCTGCGGCCCTGGTGTGCCTCATTAAAGCCCAGTTACAGGACACCTCCTCCTCCTCATCCTCGCAGCAGATGGACAGACGCTGGGTGATAATATTCCTGGGAGTTTGGAGGGGCGTCACTGTTTATATAACCCAGAGAATCTTATTAAAAAGTCGCTCTCCTTCCGTCTTGAACTCGGGGTTAATTAGCTCACTTCCTAGCTGCCGGTATGCATGGAGGCCTCTGAATGGTCACAGTGGTTGTTATGGGCGACCAGGCTTGTCTTATCTCCTGTTGCCTGTTGGGATTCTGCTGAGGAGCTGAGACTGAGAAGGACACAGTGTTTATGTAGTCTGGGAAACACACACACACTCACACACACACCAGCAGCAGCAGTGCACTCATACACACAGCTGAAAGAGCCCACTCTGAAGCACATGGAGGCAAGCTGTGAGGACACACAGGGCTACGCAGACATAGTATGCGGAAAACAAAAAGCACATGTCGCAGATTCTCACACAATGTGTAACAAGCTTTGTTTGACAAATGTGTTAAAGATTAAAACTTGTTATCACTGTGGGCACGCTCAAAGCAAAATAGTGGCAGCAGACAGCGTGTGTGAATCGCAGCAGAAGGTTGTGTGAAATTTTTCAAAATAAAATGAACTTTTAAAAACAAAACAAACATGTACATGCATATGCACATGATGTTTATTGATGACACAAATGGTCCTGCATCGCCAGACAAAAGTCCACACTGTGTGAATTCATAGTGAGTAATATCAAAGCAAATTTGCGTGACTCATAAACACTGTAACAAATATTATTACAGCACAGGCTGTAGAGATGTCTGCCTTCTCTCAAATAAAATGGAGCTAGATGACACTCAGCTTGTGCTGCTCAAAGTGCCAAAAAATACATTTAAAAAATTGTCTCTTTCCAGAAATCATGACCCAGTTACTCAAGATAATCCACAGACATTGTTGTGAGCAGTTTCATGTAGGAACTATTTTCTTTCGACCAAACTACACCCACCAACTGTATCACTGCGCAGAGGGAAGCATGCATCTACTCATGGATGAGAGGCTTGTGCTCATAACAGTTTGAGATGTAAACATTAATGGCGTCATCACCGGCTGAGCTGTAACGTTAACTAGCTCAGTGGTGCTAGGTGAGCTAGCAGTAGATGCGTACGTCCTTCCGTAATGTGATACAGTTCATGGGTGTAGCTTGGCTAAAGAAAATAGTTCATCGCCTAGAAGGAAGTGTGCATCTACTCACGGATGAGAGGTTCATGCTCATAACTGTTTTAGATGTAAACGTTAATGACATCCTCCTTGGCTTAGCTTTAATGTTAGCTAGCTCAGTGGTGCTAGGTGAGCTAGCAGTAGATACACACTTCCATCTGTGCGGCAATACAGTTCACGGTTGTAGTTTGGTGGAAAGAAAACAGTTCACTGAGTAGAGGGAAGCGTGCATCTACTCATGAACAAGAGGCTTGTGCTCGTGACAGCATGAGATAAACATTAATGGCGTCCTCCTTGGCTGAGCTTTAATGTTAGCTAGCTCAATGGTGCTAGGTGAGCTAGCAGTAGATGCATGCTTCCTTCTGCACGGTGATACAGTTCCTGGGTGTAGTTTGGTAGAAAGAAAATAGTTCACCGTGCAGAAGGAAATGTGCATCTACTCATGGACGAGAAGCTTGTGCTCGTAACAGTGTAAGATGAAAACACTGATGCTGTCCTCCTCAGCTAAACTTTAACATTTTCTAGCTCAGTGGTGTTAGGTCCATGAGTAGATGCATGCTTCCTTATGCACAGTAATACAGTTGGTTGTTTGTAGTTTGGTAGAAAGAAAATAGTACCTACATGAAACTGCGTTGAGTTTTCCAAATGTATTTTTTGGCACTTTGAGCACCACAAGCTGAGTGCCATCTAGTTCCATTATTTTAGAGAGAAGGCAGACATCTCTACAGCTGATACCTCCAACACTCAGTGACTCACACCAAAACAATCTAGACTGATTAACAGCACTACAGGTAAGAGGTAAAATACGTATTTTTGATTGTAACATGAACTGCCGCTTTAAGTGTTGACCACTGATTCAGTCATGAAGTGTTTGAATTCATGTTCCTCTTAGGGGTAATTTCAAAGAAACTGTTACCTAGGAGATGATAGGAAGTAGGTCGTCAAGGCTTTCCCCCGCTTCCCTCTGCCCTTGAATGTGACATACATACCAAACATATACTGTACTGCACACTCCCCTACATACATACATACATGCCAAATCGCTGTGCAGATGCTTGTTTCACATGTGACCTGCTTTCCTGTCAGGCAGTTTTATCATTTTCAACACATCCTCAGTCTTCTCTATTGTTCTCTGAATCTCTTCATCATTATCCAGCCTGCGCTGCGTTAGAGACTGCAGGCCGACACTGAAATCTCTTTTTCAAGTGAAATAATGAAGCATGACGAGACAATGACAAGTGACACATTTGAAGGCAAACAAAATGCAAGCACAACCCGCAATTAAGGGCTGGATTTAAAATATAAGACAAGAGACCTACTGAGGAAGTGTTTGATAATTGAATATAAGAAGGTGATGGGGAAAATGAGAAAATAAAGACAAACATGTGATGTATGAGTGACAGTACTTTTTTAAATATATCTCACAGACATCAAAGATTAATGGGAGACACTACAGGTAAACAGTTTTTTTCATGCACTGGTCAATTTTAAGATTTTGTACTATTTTGCCTCCATAAAAAATCTTCTTTCAGACAAGTGGAGAGAAGATATACAAAATACACATTTAGGATTTTATTATGGTGAAGATTTCTGTTTTGGAAATATATTCAAACGGCACATATATTTTAATTAGATCATTCCAATTCTCATTTGTACATTAAAACATAAAATTTCAGAAAGCTTGTAATACAAAAAATAATTGTCTTAATGTAAGTAATCAACTGGGGAAGTTTCATGCTGATATCTATTAGTTAATTATTTTCCCCTGTTCACCTATAGTGTCTTATTTTTGGTCTAAAAATGTATGAAATTAATAAAAATATGTTTTTTCTATATATATTTATTTTCTGATTGTTGGAGTGATTTAAGAAAAAAAAAAAGAATAAATAAATTTAAATGGTGATAAGTTAAATCTTCACCCTGTTCACCTGGGGTGTCTTATTTTTGGTCTAAAGGTGTATGAAATTTTGTGAAAATGTGTTATTTTCTCGTGCTCAAGGCCAGAAATCTTCACTTCAGTAGCACTTACATAGACCAAATTTCCCATTTTTATTAGTATTCATATTCTGAAGGTTTTTGCGGGAGTGTGTGTTTATATATCATTCATAGCCTAATTTATATAACATTTTGTTTCTAAAAACATGGCAAAAACTGCTTGTTATTCATGGCTGGTGACCACATTTGCTGTTTTATTGAGTGATAAAAACAGATTTCCTCAGTAAAAACCTTTGACTTCAGTATGTGAGCAGAATAAAACAAGAATTTTGACCTAATTTATAGGATAAATTAGATATCCGTTCTGGAAATGTATGCAAATAACAGCATATTTAATTAGATAATGCATAATTTGCATAATAAATATGCAATTTCAGTAAACTTGTAATACAAAAAACAATTCTCTTACTGTAAGTAATCAGCTGGAGCAAATATGGTGATTAGTTAAAAGTTTTACCCTATCCCCTGTAATATCTCCCCTTAAACTGTAGAAAAATGAAAGAAAACACAGTTCTTTTCACTGACAAATCAAAAGACACACAACTCCACTCCAGCATAGTACAATAATAGCCACATTTATTTTAATTACAGGCAAATTATCTTTACACTATATATTTTTTTTTTTTTATCAACGTCATGTTTTTATCCTTTATGTCATACATACATTTACATTTCCAGAGTGCATACACGTAAGTCGATGAGAGGGGGAGGGGGCTGTTAAATAAAGTGGTTCAAGACTAAAAAGAAGGATGCCTCGCATTTCTTATGAGACACATGTCAAATACTGCTCATCACAAGCATTACTCAGTAGTGGTACTGTACTTAAAAGTGCACACGGTCTATTCAATATCAGACAGCTTCATAGAATATAATATAATGGCAATTTAAACAATGATGCATTTCACACATTCAACATCAAACAAGGCAAACCTATTCAAAGGCACAGGACTCTCACATCAATATCATCTTTTTAAAAAGTAGTTTGTACTTACATGTCAGGTAATCCTTCACTTTTTCAACTTTTTTTTTTTTCCCAGCTAAAATGATTTGATATCAAACGACCCGTGAGTTAAATGGCACTGGACAGTTAGGAAGTCAAAAACACTTCCTCACGGTTACTGAATGGACACAGTTTCTCAGTTAAAGAGGAAATAGTCCAGTTCGTCATTAGATCATGTTAACGCTGGTGTTTCACAGATTTAGACTGAGCGTTTAAGGTCCAGGGTTCCCACACCTTCTTAGACTTCAAATTCCAGGACTTTTTAAAGATTTCCCTGGCCTGATTCCCTCAAACTCAAGGACACAACTTGGCATCCTTTCAGACACAGATTAAGGTTAATAACTGGACCACACTGAGAATTAGCAGGCTGGACAAAAGCTCACAGACAAGAATTAAACAATAGCTGCATTTCCATCCACCTTGTTTTATATGAATTTTCAATTTGTGCATAAAAAAAGTGGAAACGCCAAAAATTTGAAATAATCTCAACATATTGCCAAAAAAGTTTTTAAACAAGGTGGAGGTGAAAAAGTTGATGTATTTATAAAAAAGTAAGAAGGAGTTGTTTGTTGATTTGGTCTGAATCAGGGACTCATTTTGGTACAAAGTTGCATAATTGCCTAGAGTTGGTTCGTGTTCTTAAGGCAGCATTAAAAAACGGGACCAGATCAAATGCCTTGTGTGAGAAAGCTGCTCTTGATTGGTCAGAATTTCCGTGTGGGAAAAATCCAGGAAGTAAAGCAAACGTTGAAGAAGAGTACACTTACAAGATACAGTATATGCTACATTTTCTGTAACATGCTCATGCTTATTTAACCCAAACAATGTGACTGCAGTTGGTTCACATCCAGGTCAGAACAGGTTCTCACCACAAACAAACAGCACCAGAGTTTGTTTGTATCTGAACTGAGACCACCTCTTCAAGAAGGTCTCGGTCCAATGTTTTGGTGCACACCTGAGTGTGACTGCACACCTGCTCAGACAAACCACACTTAGGCGGCAAACAAACTTGAGTTTGATTGAACCGAACCAAACAGGGCAGGTGTGAAAGCACCCAAAGTGTAATGGAAACAGACAGATACCAGGCCCCAAGATGGTGCCAGTTCAGTCCAATGAGAAGTGCTCAATTGCCACATACGCCAATTGAGTTTCTAGCTTGCTCATAGATTTTACACTGTGATGGTGTTACAGATTTTTAAATGACTTTTCTTGGCTCCTGGAAATGATCACAAATATAAAACCTCTGTGGTTTAAAATTTCTCAGATAGAGTCATAATTGACCTTGTTTGCAGTTCGAGGTGTCCTGTCAGCAGTTTCACAGATGTCTCTCGTGTTGGTCAATGAGGAAAATGCTTTTTGGGCAGCAGCGCAGGGATTTTTTTTTCTTTTCTTCGTTGCAATACCATGAGTAGCCACCGGGAAAGATTGGAAGCAAAGCTAAGCAGTGTTCCTGGGGGCCTGGGTTTGGGTGGAAGGTTGACTATTACAAGCAGCGTTCCTGTAGCCACAGTTGGCTGTCTGCAATACCAATCTGCAAGCTGTCTCACATTTTCCTTTTCCTAGTCGGACTGCCAATTTAATGCTTGAAGCAGGGGTCGATGACTGTGCTGAGAGCACTGGCCTCTTTCATGTCTCACGCTTGCCACCTCCTTTCAATTCCCTCCACCATGTTAGTGATAAAAAAACAAAAATCGAAGCATTCGGATAACATGGCAACGATTGAAGCTTTGATGGTGCAAAGCATTTGGGACTGCTCTATTACTAACCTTAAGTAAAAAAACAAACAATTTCTATTCTTGCACAAAAAAACATAAATTAAAGCACTTTCAGTGAGCCATGTCTATTTTCAAAAACTTTCAAGGGCATTTTTTACCCTCAAATTCACTAATTCTCATGGATTTCAAGGACCTGTGGGAACCCTGGGGGCCTGTTAAACCTAACTGAACTATTTTCCTCTCTTCAAACTACAGCTACTGACTGTGGGTGAACATTGAGAATAATACCAGTGGGCAACATACTTCCTGTGGTCCCGTTAATCTGCTCTGTGTACTGGGGAACTGAACACACGTCCCAGTGTAGGTACACAATGAACCAGTTCAGAGGAAGGCAACTTCTATAAAACTACATCAGGATCCTCTTTTGTTTGAATATCCTGGTTTGACTGTTTTAGTTCAAGGGGACGAAGGTAAACACTACAACCTGTTAACTCGAGCCAGCCACTGTTGGATCTAACAAAAGGGTGTGTCGTTGCTGATTTTAGTTGCGTCCAGCTGACGCCACAGGGATGTATCAAGCCGCACTGGGTCCGCATTGTTTTGCAGGTTTACTTTAAGTGTCTCAGAGAAAATAGATTTACATTTAATAAACATCTCTGCTACAGAGCTACTGTAACGTTTACAGTTGTTCAAATACATGCAGATACTGTACAACGCACTCTCTTCACTTCCTTTCTCGGGGGCAGAACTGCCCACAAACAATGCAAAACTTGTTAAAAACTAGCCAAAAAAAGAATGACTGCATTATATTACCATGCCAAATATCATACAAACCAAATAATGGTTAAAAAAATGATGAAACAAAATAGCAGCAACACATAGGCTTAGTTCTGTGAGAACAAAATCGAGAACCAGCAAGCCACCAGTGCCTCTGGGTTAAAGTAAAAGAGTTACAGAGTTACATAGGGAGCCTTCAGTGCAAATAAGTACGGGTGAATCTAAATCTTATAAAGATGGAAGCTTTAAAGGCTGAATATGCAGTGGTTTCTTTACAGTACAAGTTGACTCCACTTAAAAGACAGTGTCCACTGTAAGTGAATTCAAACTCTTCAGACACCTCACTAACCACCACACTACTGTCAATATCATGATAATAAAAAATAATAAAAAGAAACTACCCTTTCTGTGCAATAGTTCAAGTAAGTTATTTCCTGCAAATAGTTAGTGCTTTGTAACACATCCTGTGGCCGTACCGAAAGAGACGACAACATAAAGGAAACATATAAATACACAAAAAGGTACTATTTACATGAAACGGGTTTCTGGACAAGACTGCACTCTACGCAGAGAGGACCTCTACTCACCAATTCAGGCTCAGATTTGATCTAATCCTCCCATTGGTTACAATTAGGACCAAAGTTGGGGCAGTCTCATCCTAGATCTGTGGTCACAAACACATCCACCAATCTGTGTCCCAGTGTGAAGCAAAGCGCCGAGGTTCAATCTCTAAAGGGGCGTGTCGTAGACTCGGTCCGACGAGCCCTCCTCTGTGTCGTCCTCCGACTGCGACGCCTTGTGGTTGAGCTTCTCTATTGTCGAGGAGGCGACAAGATTTCCGTGGACGCAGTCGTCGCTAAGCTTGGCCTTGCTGCTGTCCTGAACAAACTCTTGGATCTCCACGGGGAGCCGGCGAAACTTGTCCTGGTACTCCTGGTCCAGATCGCTCTGGAGCTGTGGAGAAAGAACAACACATGTTCGCCGGGAATTCTTACATGAGCAAAAAAGACAAGAAGATTGAAGCTGTAACTCGGATTGTTTGACACATACATTTGACGATGTTCACAAGGGGTTGGTTAAAACAGAGAAGACTGTGTTAATATACTCACACAAAGAAGTTTTTAGTCTGCGAGTCACATTAGGTCATGACAAGAGCAGATTGTGGAACTACACATGCTTAAGTACTGCCCAAGTTCCTTCAGCAAGACTCTTAAACATCTCCCATTTTAGCTGAGCTGCTCAACAGTAGCACCCAGGTCTGAGTGTGCATATATGAAGCATAATCACTTGACTTTTCCAGCGTACACAAACACAATAAAAGCAGCTGTAGATTTGAACGCTGAACAGTTTATTGCATTAATTTGCATCAACTCCTCTGCAGGCAAAGTAGTTCTCTGACAAGAATAAAGTGAACAATCGGCCACAGAAAACGCTCAGTAATAAACATGTCATGGACCTGTGTCTAGGAACATCAGCAACAATCAGGCTTCACACTCTGAGATGCATATTCTGCACAACCTATTGGCTTCTTCGGCAACAGAGTTTTTAGCAGATACTCAGTTTTCTTGAACGCAGCAACAAAAAACAGTTTTCAAAATACTTCACCATGCAAACATAATGTAACTAAACAGAGATATATAAAGAGATATACTGATATAGATGGCGTTAGAGCTTCCTATTTGGTTGATCTTAGTTTTATTGTTTGATGAAGTTGTTTAATAACCCATTGATTTAAACTTTTTTGTAAGAGCCTGTTTATTTGGGGATTTTTGTTTTCATTTTTTCAAAAACACAATAGTCAAGACAATCAGTTCATAGCGTCATCCTGCAAATCAATCAACCCGAAACCAACCGAAGCACCATGGATCATTAGTGAGTAAAACTAAACCAAAGACAGTGAGTTCATCATATCATGTGGCATCTGTGGGCAGCTACTTTTGAAGTTATTTGGAAGCCGCAATAGGTGGCAAGGTAGCTAGAGATACAGATTTGCTAATCTCTATCAACAGATATCTGAATATGTATGATGCATTTTGATTTCAGTTTACAGTCCAAGTAGTATTGCCCAATCATGTTTGAACTGCAGGTAAACTGTCTGTGTGGAGAGGTGAAAGGCATTGGCCAAAAATGCAGACACCAGATCTCCCAAACTATTAGCCATTGCTCCAGAGGCTTCATCAGTGTCAGATAGTCGATGGGTTCAGAGATTGCAGATTTTGATACCATGCTGGTATGAATGAGAACCAACAGCTGCACAGAATTCATAAAACCCATCCAACCAATTTCAGGTTTGCTCTAAAAGCTAGACAAAATGAATTATGCGTTGTGGAGTTTAATTGTAAACATATATTCAGTGTTTCTAACCAAAATGCATTGTGTGTATTCATGTGGACTAACAAATGTGCAACATGAATTTCCTTCTTTATAAAACATTTGCAAAGTCATTTCTCTCTATTTATTTTAAATCCTGCATTATTAATGCTAATCTTTTCTTACTAGCAGTCTCCTTATTCCCTGCCTTGCAAGCCCTTTGGTATGATTGACGAACTTCTACAGAAGTACACCAGCCAACTGTATCACTGCGCAGAGAAAAGTGTGCATCTACTCATTGACGAGAGGCTTGTGCTCGTGACAGTGTGAGATGGAAACATGTCTTCTTATTCTGAGCTGTTACATTAGCTAGCACAGTGGTGCCATGTGAGCTAGTGTGTACACACTTCCCTCTGTGCTGTGATTTGGTGGTAGGAAGAAAACAGCTCCTACATGAAACTGCTCACAACAGGTTCTGTGGATTATCTTGATTAACCAGGTCATGATTTCTGGAAAGAGACAAGGCTGTTGAGTTTTTCAAATACACATTTTTTGAGCACCACAAGTCGAGTGCCTTCTAGTACCAATATATTCCAGAGAAGGCAGACATCTCTATGGTCGATAGAGTGCCGACGTCACGCCCCTTCCGGTGAAGCTCATGGGACCTTAGATCGGAAAAAATATGAATGGCAGTGAATGAGGAGAGAAATATTATCTTTTGGTCCCGTTTGAGTTGTGACATGAAATCCAAATATGTCGTTAATGAATTTAAAACATAAATTTTAAGGTCAAGAAAGTCATACTTTGTGGTAAAACTGTTGAGATATAAGCTTTTGAAAAAAACGTAATTAGAAAAACTACACAGGAGGCGGTCGCATATGTGACGTCATAGCTTTCGCTCGCTTCCAGCAGCTTGGAGTGACTGCAACCTGGCACAAAACACACAGACATCTTCAATCATAAATTGATTAATCATAAAACAGTGGAATTTCAGCGGGGAGGCCAAGCTGCAGGAGGCGAGCGAAAGCTATGACGTCACATACGCGACCGCCTCCTGTGTACTCTTGAGTCTTTCTAATTAAAAAGCTTATATCTCAACAGTTTTACCACAAAGTATGACTTTCTTGACCATAAAATTTATGTTTTAAATTCATTAACAACATATTTAGATTTCATGACGCAACACAAACGGGAACAAAAGATAAGATTGCTCTCCCCATTCACTGCCATTCATATTTTTTCCGATCTAAGGTCCCATGAGCTCTACCGGAAGGGGCGTGACTTCGGCACTCTCTAACGCCAAATCTTGGCAACTCACACCAAAACAATCTAGACTGATAAACAGCATGAATGGTAAGAGGAAAAATGTGTATTTGTGAATTTCGGGTGAACTGTCCCTTTAAGAAACATTAGCATTCATTCTAAATTGTGTTTCTGGCGGCCCAACATTGTAAGTCCGATATTCACTTTCATTTTAGCTCTGTTTTGGTTTCCACCAAGTCCTGAGGGATAAATATGATTCTTTAGCCTCTTTAGCTCCTACATCAGGTTTATTTGTTGTGAGCCAGAAAACCAAAACAACAAGCTAAAAGACGCTAAAACACTACAGAAAGCTGAGGGGAACAGCAGTTGCACAATAATTCTCTTTGGATTTTGTCACTACAAGCAACCCTTTTCCCATGTGACGTGATATTGTAAAAATATTGATTACAGCAGCTTTAAACAGTATGGTATATCCGTGTATAGAGACTGAATAGAAGCGATAGATAAGTGATGGGCTGTAACCCTGACACTGACCACTGAATGGGAACCTTGGTTCACTGAAGAAATAATAATACCCAAGATCCCGTCTGCATCCACGTATACTCCCCTCCCCTCTCAGAGACGGTGAAAGGAGAAGCTGTTTTCTCCCAGGCATTGACGCCCCCAATGATTACACATGACAAGATTGTATTCATTTCATTGTGAGCCAATAATTGCTGTAATGCTGATTTCTCTGTTTAACTACCCGACTGGCTCCCGTGGGAGAGCAGTAATTAAAAGAAAAGCCGGTAAGATGAATGGTGTCAGAGTCTCGCGGCTCAATACACTCACGTCAGCATTATGAGAGATCGAAAATACCTGTGAGTTCAGAGAGGATTTATCTGGGATCCATATTTCGTCTGCGAGGCCTCTGTTAATCTAATAAGGGCCCACTTCACACACACACTCAACTTCTAACTCTAAAGTAAACAATCTTAATAGAAAATGCATCATGGACTCGCTCAGAGAAAAAGCCAAGGTTGGAAATATTGATGCTGTAAATCTGCGAAAAGTTTGACACGTCTACGCAGTGCTGCACAAACTCCACAAGGAGAAAGCTTCTAAGCACAAAGCTGAATTCTCCGAGATGCACTCATCTAGATCTCACTTCCAATTAACACAGCGAGCATGAAAGTCATTGCTGTGAGAAAGAAGCCCTGAATGGAGGAGATAGGATGAAGGTCAAGGATCCTGCTCTCTCAACTTTCTAATTTTCTGCCCTCTCCACTTCAATTTATGACACACATCCATTTCATCTACGAGTGCCGCATAGCAAAATGAGAAAACCTGATTGATACAAAGTAATAGCCTTCGCAGCACTTTAATACATTGCTGTACTGTAAATTGGATTGATGTTACATCCTGTAGATTATGATTATATATGTGTGAGAATGAGCGGAGTATCAAAATTCAATAGCTTTTGAGTGCTGACCGAAATCTGTCCGTATTGAGTACCGATAAAGTATCACAATTTGACAACGTTTGCTCAGATTCTTGGTCTTCTTTAGGCCCTGATCAAACAGAAAGTCACACTGTGCTGCCTTTTTAAAAAAAAATATGTAATGCCACAAGTAAAAATAAAAATTGTTGCCAGGCAACCACAATCATGTCCTTACCCTGACCTTCCTGTGTAATCAATCTACCTTTTTTTTCTCACAGTAATCAGTATCTAGTCCCTGACATGTTGAGGCAGAGGGTACTGTCTGTAGCTCTGGTTGAGGGTGAGCGGCTGTCAGCAGATAAACAGAGATCTGTGTGGGTACATGAGACCCTAAAAAAGAGGCTGGATCATGGGGAGTACCACCAGTTGCTCCAGGAGCTTCTCCTCAATCATGGACGCTTACAGGCATATTTTAGGATGACTCAGGGGCAGTTTGACAACCTGCTGTATATCATCAGGCCGTAAAGCTCTGGGTATCCAGCAACCACTACTTAGTGTCCTGACCACCACAGAAGGCCAGCCTCTAAAATCATCTGATTGGACAATGGGGAAAACCAATGTCGAAAAAAGAGATGACGTGAGGGGCTTTTCTGCTCTGAGTTTAAGTTTTTTCAACTTGAGGAGTTCAGAGTGCTGAGGCAAAAACGCCAGGCACATTGAGCAAAGATACGCGAGGCGCATCACAACGCAAAAACAGCAAGCAAAAAGCTTCATTCTCATTAGAAACGATTACAAAAAGCCGCCTCCAGCTGCTAAAACGTTTTCTGTGTGATCAGGGCCTTACTTATTACTGGAGGTGTTCCTGTATAATTTTCTTCCTTCACAATACCAATTCTGATACAGGAACTTTTGTAAAACATGAATGAATACATAAAGAGTACACAGAGTGTCACAGAACTTT